AGAAAGCTGGCAAAAAATAGGGCTTGCCAGAGACCTGGTAGAGATTGGTTTGTCGCCTCACAGCTGCCAAACCACACCTCAGGGTGATCAGCTGGCGCTTCAGGGTCTAGACCTTTAGCCTGTCTATGTCATGGGCTTGCCCCTCAACTAATCAGAATAACAACAGTGCATACTCAATTAGGGTATAAATGGAGCCCTGCCAAAGAGTCAAGTTGATTCTTCACAGAGCATGTGGGCCTGGAAGTTGGACCCTCTCCGTGCATATATGGTACACTACTGCAGACTGAGTGTATCTCCATGGATTAGGTGAGCCTCATCTCCCTTTTGGATGAGTGATACCTTTGGGTACCCTTGTGGGGAGGTTTTCCCTTGATGAGGGAGTGTATGCCCATTTTGATTCATCTTTCTAGAAAGAATATTCCTTAAAGTTTAGGAGTTAGTTGTGCAGTAGTTATATTCCCAACTGACATCTGAACTTGTGATTTAATCTTATCAGAAAGAGTGCTGGGCAATTTTTGTTGCAGTAAGTCCACATTTTTGGATAACTGCTGCTGTCTATTTTGTGGGTGTCTCCATGACAAACCTCCAGCTCCTTTCCTAGTCAGCAGAGAGAGGCACCTTTAGGGCATGACTCACCCAGCCTGTTTTTAGCTATCTACCTAAAATGACAGAATTTTCATCTTCTAAGGGACAGTTTCTCTCTTCCACTGACTAAAAGGACAACAAATGATAATTAGCTAGAATACAGACACCTTTAGGGGTATCTCACTCCCAGGAACCAAGGAAGATCAGCTTACCCAAGCCCCTCCACTTCAGAAATCTTCACATCTACACGCATATGAGTGCACGGAGCCTTGGGAGCTGGCTGAAAGATACCTTATAGTAAAATCAACACCTCTGAGCAGACAGTTTATTAAATCTAGTTAAGTTTTAACTTACAAACCATTTTATTTGTAGCATCTTTATCCCATAACATTCCACCAGCAGAGCTGAGTCAGTTCCATTACAGATAGAGCTGAAACCTCCATTTTCTGAAACAGCTAGACAAAGCCTACTGCTCAGGGATCTCTGTGTGAGAAGAAATATTATGGACTCTTCCTCTAAATACATAAACTGAATTGTTTAAGGTGGAGCTATCATGATGCCAAAAATTATGCTGCTGCTGAAGATGGATCCTTGCACTCCTGAAGTGCAAGCCAAAGGCTGTGTGGGGCAGCAGTGAGGTCTGCAGACACTCAGTGGAAAAAAAACAAAAACAAAAACAAAAACAAACAAAAACAAAAACAAAAACTGGCCAAGCTTGCCTCTGGTTTACCACTCACTGGGAAAGCAGCACTACCAAAAACACTGGTATCCGTTTTCTATCATGCTCACTTTGAATTTAATAGTCACGGTCGTATTTTGCACCAAATTCTTAAATTAAAAGATGTATACCTCTCCCAGAGCAGCTGAAATAAAGACATCAGGACTCAAACATTTAATACAAGATGTTTCCTCTCATAGCTGTAACAGGCAACAGTAATTGCTGTAAATAACCAGTGGCTTATTGTCTGAAGTTTTGCAGTTGACATTTAAACTTGTATATGTGCCTTATCTTCAAACCCTTGAAGCAAACTCTGGATCACTGTTCTCTGAGGTTGCTTCAGGATAACTTCATAACAGACACTAGTTCTTTTCTGTATTGGGTCAAATTTTGCGTTCTACATTACAATTGCAATAACTATGCAGAGGCCCACAAAGGCAGCTGGTAATTGTCCGGCTATTGGCTCATGCCACAGCTGTCTCACTTGGTGTGTTCTACATGCTCTTGTGCTAGTAAAAAGTTAGACAGGCTGGGATGTTGTACGAAGCTTTGTGTCAGTGGAAAGGATCATTACATTAATTCTGGATAATGCCTTCTCTGTGGCTTTAACAAATAGGTGGGATTTTCCTGTGCAGTAGAGAGGCTGCTCTATGGAGAAAGTTGTCCTTCAAGAATCAGTAAGGTCTCTGTGACTCTGGTTACCTTGACAGATTCAGTTCAGGTTTGCTTCATCTTCCCCAGTTATAATTTATGACCCAAGGCAACAATCCATCAAGCCAGATGACATTACCTGGAGCTTATGATGTCAAAAAGAGGGATGGCATTTCCTGTCACCAGTGAACAAGAAAACTCTGGAATTACCTAACGTAAGCAATTGCAGTGGGAGAGGAAACCTTATCCAAGGAAAAGAGAGGTGTTGCAGGAAACATTAGAGAGTATTAAATACTCATTGTTGTGAGTATTGAGTACCCCTGTGATAGACCATAGCAGTAGACCTGAACTCCTGGCAAGTGCAGTCCTGACACTACTGAAGACAGCAGCAAAATTCCCACTAATTTCAGCAAGCTGAAGATTTCTTCTGGATCCAGTTTATGGCTGAATCACCACCTTATTTGTGAGTGACAGACGATGTCTCCATTCTGTGCCATAATGCTCAACTGTAAAACAGAAAACATGGGAGTTATCCTCGTCAGCAAGAGAAAACAGTGCAAGTCTAAATGCAAGTGCTCACACAGCACACAATCGCTCTGAGACCAGAGGTGCTGAGGAGACAGGGGCAGCCAGGGAGCTCTTGGCTGCCTTCTGTTTACCAGGAAATAACTTCAGCTGGTGGCAATTTATCATGGTGAGAAGTGTCAGGGAAAAAAATTCCTCCTATCAGAAACTTTGCTGGACAGTCATGCTGAAAGCAGAGTCCTGTAATGAAAAGCTAGTATTAAGGTTAGAGGGTCAGGAACAAGAAATCTTCATTGCTTGTTGGGGGTTCAGAAGGCATACGCAGCCATTCTGAGTGATTATTCCGTCACGGAATACAACCAGCAAAAAGAAAAAAGGGCACTAAAAAACAGCCTGGGAACAATCAGACTTCTAACCCTCTTCTAGACCCTCACCAACATATTGGTATATATCTTCAGTCAGAGGAAAGAGCTATAGAACTACATAGACAAACCCATGTCAGTGTTTTTTTTATAATAATTTTTATTAAACATTTTAAGCAAGAAAACAATGTTTTCCTGTATTTAGAAGCAGGATTAATTGCTTCTTTTCCTTGAGCTCCATCCAGTTGAGGCTAGCTGCTGATTTAGGGAGTCTGGCAACATCCCAAATATAGGGGTGCAATAACTCCTTGGTGGGAACATAACCATTTCCTACCCAGCCCTCTCCCAGCTCCCAGGTGACTTTTCACAGCCTCTGGCAAAGTGTGGCACATACATTGGGCAGGCTACTCACCAAATGACATTTGTCATTATTTTTTTAATGACTTTAATTGTTCTGATGACTGCTGTTGGAAAAAAAAAAAAGTGACCTTCCATTTTTGCCCGCTTGGAAGTCATGTTTCTAATCCTCAGTTCTGTAAAGCTCTGTGTTGAAGAGGAAATTATAATTGTAACTGCTCAGCAGTGGTAATATGTGACCAAGGAATGATCTGGTACAGAGAGCAATGTGGCCCAACTAGAAGAAGGGGTTAAACTGGTTGGAAGCAGAAATGCCAGAGAAAGATCAACTTCTTGTAAGGAGGTGAGGTCTCCCCTGGTGATGAGATAAGAAAATAGTCTCAGCATTGTCTTGTGGCCATCCTGGAATGGGAGCACTCAGGAGCCTAATCTCGGAGGCCACCTTTATGCAGCAAAGCTGGGCTGGAGGATGAAGCCAAGGCTAGACTGAGGTGTCCTCTGCCAGAACTTCTGTCAGGAATACTGCTGGTGCAAGTATATTTGGGGAATCTTTGTGATGCAACTTTGCAGATGGCACATAGAACCACTATTTAGTGATAGGATTTCTCCTAGGTTAGTAGAGATAGGACAAGAGGAAAAGGACTCAAGTTGTGCCAGGGGAGATTTAGATTGGATATTAGGAAGAATTTATTTACTGAAAGAGTAGTGAGGTGTTGGAACAGGCTGGGCAGGGGGGGGGGGGGGGGACCATCCCCCGAAAAAACCTGTAGATGTGGCACTTGGGGACATGTTTTAATGGTTGTGGTACTGTTGGGTGATGGTTGGACTTGACCTTAGAGGTCTCTTTCAACCTTAATGATTCTATGACTCTGCTCAATGCATTGTTCATTAAAGTTTACTTTTATATTTAAGCATAAACATGTATTTAACTCACCTTGAGGTGTACCATAAATATTCCCCACCCCTGTCAAAGGCTTAAAATCAACAAATAAACCCAGAGAACAAACACTTCCTCGTTTCACTTACTCTACTTAAAAATCACACGATTTTGAAGATTTCACTCAATCTTTGTTTATTTGTGGTTTTCAATATTTTGTATTGCTCCCTGAATTTGTGCCATGGGTGTCCATGCAGGCAGCCTCCTTCATGACCCTGTCAGGTGTCAGAGGACATCTGCAGATACTCAGCCAGTGAAACAGCCAGGAAGGACGCAAGTCACAAGCACAGAGACAAAGCAACAAATGGCTGAGGAAATGAAAATTCTCACCCAACACCAGGGAAGACCAGAGGCAATGCTCCTCCATCTTCCTTCCCAGCCAATCCCCTTCCTCTCTCTGCACGGCCACAGAGTTATCAGCAGTGAGAGCAGTCTCTATACCCCACAACCCAGTCGTTTCTAGAAAAAAAAAAAAAAGCCTACTGCCACCCTTCACCCAAAAATCTCTTAAGTGAGCTCTATTAATTTTTTTTTTTCCCCATCCTTTGTTTTTATCTATTTGTCCTTTCATAACTCGCCAAGCTTTTCCCAGGATGGCTCAGCCTGCGCAGGGTGGGATGAACACAGTGGCTGTCAGGAGAGCTGACGTTACACCAGGCAGCTCCTCTGGTCCAGCACCTCCAGTTTGATGCCAGCACACTTCATGGCTGCCAGCATGCAATGACTGACTGTCCTCCTCCGTCTTGTCAACCCCGTTTGAATGCAGTGAAAGCGTCTCTCTTCTTTGGGGCACTGGTAAGGCATCAGGCAGGAGCACTGGGTCTGTGTGTCTGGAAATGAACGTGATGGAACTTTAGCTGAAAATGTCATGACTAAAACCATATTTTATAGTTTGACAACATTTCAAAGCCCAACAGGGCAAAATGCTACTGGAGATTTATGATACATTTGTTACAAAAGCCTGTAGTGCATACATTAGATGGTAGGGTAGGAATAGACAAAAGCAGCTTTAAATTTCAGTTTATATAACAGTGGCCCATACAGAAGCAGAAACTAAGTGACCAACTATTTTTATCCACTGGCTTTCCCTGACCTTTCCTGTAAACAAAGATATTAAGTTGACTTTCTGTTCCCAATTATCCTTGCGCACCATGTTGCTGTGAAATGGAGTCTTAAGGTCCATATTGTGTCAGCTCCTATTTCATTAAAGCTCCCTTTATGAATGCTAAGCTACCTGCTGCTGGCTTGTGGTGAAGCTCAGTCCTGCCAGTTATTTCATTATCCATTTCTGATCTAATCAGATTCTGACTCTTTATATTCTTTCCCAGAAAATCCCTATGCGGGAAACAAGGTTTCTGCCTTTCCTTTCTTAAAATGTATGAAAAATATATGGTTTTCTTCATTTAGCTCCTTTCATAGGGTACTGTGGCATCTTCTGCCTCTGTGTTGATACCAACTATTCATTCTCGGGAAAACCAAAACTTCTATTTCCTAAATGTTTATCTGTAGTCAAGAGAAAGAGAGCTTTTGTGGAGAAGGTGAGGAGGAAAGTCCAAATCAAACCTCTTAAGCACCGCTATGAAAACGTATTGAATGTATTTTTCTCCTCTGTCTCACTTTCCCTCACTGAGAAGGCCTCCTCTGTAGGCTTTTGAGAAACACACTGAAGTGCTGGCACAGAGTGCAGCTTATGGTTGCAGAAGTGATCATGCCCCTATACTTGGTACTGGTGAGGCCACAGCTTGGGTGCTGTGTCCAGTTTGGGGCACCACAGTACAAGAAGGACACTGAGGTGCTGGAGTGGTTCCAGACAAGGGCAACAAAGGTGGTGAAGGGTCTGGGGAACATGTCTTATGAGGAGTGGCTGAGGGAACTGGAGTTGTTTAGTCTGGAGAAGAAGAGGCTGAGGGGAGACCTTCTCTCTCTCTACAGCTCCCTGAAAGGAAGTTGTACTGAGGTGGGTCTTAGTCTTTTCTCAGGCTACTAATGATAAGACAAGAGGAAATGGCCCCAAGTCGCACCAGGGGAGGTTTTAATTGGACATTAGGAAGAATTTCTCTCCTGAAAGAGTAGTGAAGCATTGGAACAGGCTGGGCAGGGGGGGGGGGGAGGGCCCCGACCACGGCGTGTAGATGTGGCACTTGGGGAAATGTTTTAATGGTCACAGTACTGCTGGGTGATGGTTGGACTTGATGATCTTAGCGGTCTCTTCCAGCCTGAATGATTCTGTGAGTCTATGATTCTATAATTCAATCTACTTCCACAGGGGGAGCAGACGTAGGCTTTTTACAGGCTCTGGAAAAAATAAGCCAAATATTTTTTTAAAAATTATAGCCACCATACCAGGAGCCCAAGGTGCTCCCCGACAGCATGTCCCTTAAGGGACACACCTAATCGTGCTCTCTGCTTCAGCCCAGGAAGGAACATCATCTCATGCTGTAATTTTACAGCCACCTACTTCAAATCCTGTGCAGCAGATATCTTCCATCTTCAAAATGGGGCTTTAATGTTGCTGCACACTGCAGTTGCTTTATTTATCATAAGGAGATGATGTGTGATAAGGTTCATATTTGTCTCTGGAAGGACGTGAAAGAATGAGCATGGGTGGCACTCAGTCTTTTCCTGGCAAGCACTCGATGTGCACAGAGCCAGCCAACACATCAGACATTTACAGGAAAACCCATGGCTCTTATCACCAAGTTACACAACAAACAGCCAAGTTGCACAACAGTGTCTATAAAACAATCCTTTTAGGGATTTCACCATCTTAGCTAGTTCATTAAAATTCTTAATAAACACAGTTTCCGCATACGGGTATTTGCGAGTTTTACCATTAAAATCTCATTAAGCCTGATGGCCTTAGTCTTGCTTTTTAAGTAGTATCATTATTTCATTTCATAATTTAATTATATGGTACAGAGGGTGTGGCCCAAATTAACTCCTGAAGTACAAAACTAGTGATTATAGTAGCCTCACAGGGAATAGGCAATAACTTGCTGACTCATTTTTGTGATTAAAGATTCAAATGTTAATTCTCCTGAAGAAGTTTCCTTAATCTCCAAATTCCTTTTGTGCCTTGCTAATAGGAATTGACAACACAGCATTTATGCCTAAGGGAAAAGACTTCTATCTAAGTGTAAAACTTGGCAGCAGGGTCACAGGGACTTGACCACAGTTCCAGAGTCCTCTCACCATAAATTGCTCAGATGGACCACAATTCCTGTCAATCCCATTCTTGGAGCACAGAAGAAGTCAGTACATTTTACTTTTAGATTAAAAAAAAAATGGATAAATCCCATTATTGCGAGGTTATACCTGGACATTCCTCCCAGTCATAGCAGGTGTCATAGCCACAGGGTACTTTCTTCAAGCTATTTGTAGAGAGCTCTGCCCTTTCAATAGCCCAGTCCAGACTGGAATCACCATGGCAAGGGCCAGTATGCAAGAAATGAAATGACTGCTCTCCAAGGCACTTTTCAGCTGCATACTGACAGCTGGCCTTGGTCACATTCTGTTCAGAAACAGCATGTAGCACACAGATGTCTTCTGAGTAATGGCTGCCCCAAGGAAAAGAGAAAAAGATATTTTAGCATGCTGTGGAACAAGGCCACGCTTCTAAACACTCCACCAGCATCAAATTAAACACAGCAAAGCCATGGCCAGGCTGGGTATCTGTGTAAAGACCCTTTGCTGTCCCAGCAACCACGGGATCTGGAGCTGGTACAGCTTAGTACTGTGAGTTGAGGGAGCTCTGGTCCTATCCAACAGATGAGAAGTGGAGGACAGGTGTCTGCAGAAGGAGACAGGAGGCGCTATTACCTCCACAATGTGTGTGAAGTTTCCACAGGCCCTGGGGTGGCCTGTCTGACTTAGTGCAGCCCTGCAGCTGTGTGTAAAAGTCTGCATCTGAGGTACAGTGGTTTGGGATCAATGGCAGGCAAACCCAGCCATGCAAACCCAGCCATGCCACATGTACATTGTCTGTGTTGCTCTTGGTTCCCAAGTGGATTTGTCCTCAGAAACTGTGGGCATTTTCAAGCAGCACATTTTGTGGAGCTTAGTTGTTTGACAAAGAGAGGGAGCAATACAGCTCACCTTGTTTATGTTCCTGGGTTGAGCTTAGAGCTTTAGCCAACAAAGCCTCTCTAGTTTTCAGAGGATTTGGCCTGTGTGCTTTTGACAATGCCTGTCACACTCTAAAAATGCTCTTTCTCTACCTGAGGCCTTTTGAGAGAGGAGGTACCTGGTTATTTGAGCACTGACATGAATGAGGCAAATCCCATGCCAAGGGAATGTGGGGTCACACAGGAGCCCTGTTCTGGCATATGCATTGGTTTCATCCCTTCAACAGCTCGGTTCATATTCAATCTCTGCTCATCTTTCCTATCTTCAGTCCCACAGCACACCTTCACCCTGGCCAGTCATTTACTGAAAATCCTCTAGGATAATGTTATTCACTTGAAGGCTTGATCAGGTCTATGCAGAGCATTTTGTGTAAAGAGATAGTAAATCCAATTCTTACATATTTTTATATGCCCTGGAGACTGAAACAGTGTATTTTGCAGTATGTTCATCTGAAAAAGGTGACTCTCAAACACAAGGGAGCATGACCTATTACAGCAAGGTGATGACAGTGAAAATATAGAAACTGGAGAAATAAACAGAAGAAAAGCAAAAGTTGGGATCTCCAGTAGCAGACAGTAGTTTAGAAGGATGTGCCATAGTGTGCCGTTTGGTTAATGTCATTGTTCATTTATTTCTTAGGCTACAAATCGGGCTGTAATTTGCATACAGAGGCATAGCTGGCTAATATCTCAACAGAGAGTAGCCCTGAATTGCTGTTGTCTTTTGTTACTCTTCTTGGTTTGTGTCACAGTGGACTCTTGGTCTAGTAGTGGAGAAACTTTGACTTTCCTTTTTCTAATTAAAGTGCTTAACTTACCTACAATCTTTTTCTGGAGACATACAAACACATTGAGATCCAACCTGCTTTTGTCCTGGTTTGCAAACACCTCTAATTTCAGTTTGCACATCTGAAAAAAAAAAGAATTATTGTAACTAGTAACAAAGCAAACAAATATCTTACACTCCTGCTGTAAAACCTGAAATTGATATATTTCTGTTTGTCCCATATTTGTCTCTTCAAAAGCTGCTCTGGCTGGGATTCTACAAGTATGCATCAGTCTTTTGCAAAAAAAAAATCTGTACAAGAAGAAAAACTGAAGTTTTACTGGAATGCATTCTCCTACTTCATTTTCATAAAGCCATGTTAGTACAGCTGGGGTTTGTCTTGTTTTTAAGAAGACAGTTTCAATACGTCAATTTCCTGAAGTGTACAGTACATTGCACACTAAAATTCTGGGTTAATTCTGGTACAATTAATGCAGAAGTTTGGCGCTGAAATAACATGGCACTGTGGTAGGCAGAAAACAAAATCAAAATTAAAGAATAGTTACTATGTCTCAAAACTAGCCATCTGCTTCCTAGTTGTAGATAGCTAAAATAATCTGTGCTGTCAATACCAGCAGTATAGAAACAGTAAAGTATCTGCAGGCATGCTAACCTTTTTCACATGTAATAGTCCTCAAAATAGGAGGCATCCAGGACAGGTCTTTCCTACAGGTATACTGAGTTTGACCAGTGACTACAAACCCGGCTTGGCAGCTCAGCTCAACGGTTTCACCAATGCTGTACTGTTGTTTAAATGGGGAAACTGTGACACTGTCAGATGTTGGTGGCCTGAGGCACACCGAGGCTGTAATAAACAAAAGAAAAGGATAATTCTTCTCGCTTTTATGGTGCACAGATATTTACATCAAGTTTTAATGCTTCATCTGGAGATCCATAAAGACATTCAACAACACTCAATATTCAACCGACATTCAAAACTGATAAATGTTTAACAGAAGTCTAGAAAATTTCCATGCACTACCATAGTCCTTAAAAATATTTTTCTACCAATAAATAATTACAATTTGCTTCTAATATATGCTAGTATAAGTAATTTAATTTTATACATTAAAAATAATAAGAATTACATTAACAACATATTTTAATACTTCTTTTGTAAATAAAGCTATTAACGAAATTAAAATGAATGCAAATAGAAAGCTCAGAAGTATATTCAGGTTATTTTTTTTTGTCAGCAAATGAAATCAGATTGAATTCCAGAGAACTACTGGAATCTTTCCTGTTAACAAACTTGGGTCAGTTCTGATTCGTCATACTTAATAGCTTTAAGGCTAAAATACTTTAAGGCATTGATTTATTGCGTGGATATTCAAGGCAGTCTGAGGGGGATAGTGAAACACATCATCCATTTAATATAAAAAGTTTCAGACAATTTCCTCTAAAAACACTTTCCTCAAGATAAAGCTGTCTATGTAAGCCTGGAAACAAAACGTGAGTCCTTCTGTTAAAGATACTTAAAATTAGACAAGAGAAAGGCCTCACAGCATCCATCTGAAGGTTTTCTAAAGCACTGATTGTTACAATATCCTTACAAAGCACATAATAGTAATACTTCTGAATTGAAAAAGGAGTGATGTAGTGGCTCACTAGGTTTTTGCCATCTTTACACAAAAAAATCTTAAAATGATGTCTTCTCAGATATCATTACAAATTCTTTTGGTAAACAGGTATTAAAATCTATTTTGTGATATTTTCTTCCACTTTTCTTTTTCTTACGTTGACATTCAACAGGTTGCTGCATCCAGGTTTGATCTGGCAGACACCGAAGGAATTGATAGCCACTGAGGACATGGCCACTCACACAGACAATTTCAGCTTCTTCCCCCACAGCATAATTGTTCTTTTCATTCTACCAAAAAAAAAAAAAAAAAAAAAAGCCCCTAAGAGATCTAAAGAGATCTGTGGTAATGAGACTGTCAAAATAAATAATGATGAAAGCCTGATGATATGAAGCAATGAGTGCCTGTTTTTCCTACTCTGAAATACGAGTATCACCTACATAGCACACTCAACTATATAATGTTTGTCCAGATGCACTAACTATTGTTATAGTTAGAAAACAAGAATTCAAGGACCACTGTTTGAAATGGATTTTACCTTGCCTTTCCTTTAGTTACTGGTGGAGTTTGGTGGACTAGAGTCCAACAGCATGCCACAATACACAGGAACATGCTCACCAGCACAGTAGTTAGCTTGGGTATCAGGCACATGTAGCAAAGAAGATGTAAAATTTCCCAGCTCTGCAACTACTACACTTCCCTCCTCTAGCTCTCATTTTTCATGCTCACCCTGATAAAGCCATTTTCTGGTGGGTATGGCTTGGAGCATCCAGACTCAGGTTCACCAGTCAGGACATCCTCTTCTCTCATGTCTTCATCATCATTTATACAAGGAGCACCTCTGAAAAGTAAAAATTTGCTGGTAAGGAAGTATCTTAAGCATTAGTATCACCCAATGGCAGAATGTCAAGACCTTTAGAGAGGAATGCTGAGAATGCATTCCATCCAGTCACCTATGGTGAAAAAAACTTTATTCTGTTAAATAAAAGATGTTGGACATTAAAAGTTGCCAGTATTGATAGGAGGGAGATTGTCAGTGCACTGAAAAAGGGGTAGATACAGGGCTGCAGTTTCTGTTGACATAACTCATATGAAACACTTCTGTGGAATAAGAGGCAAAGAATGGCATATGGAGGAAGTCTGTAAGGAGTCCTCATGATTCGGTTGGGTTTAAGATAGCATAGTCAGAATCTACCTGTTTGCCATCAGGCAACGGTTAAAGGAGGCTGGTCTCTGTGAGCATGGAGCTGCATAGCCTGTGGTGTCGAACTGAGCTGAGTAACAAAGAACTGTGGAGCCCATTGCTTTTAATCTGCCGCTAACCACTCCAGAATCCCCTCTGTAGTCACTAGAACAAGGATGATGAAAATCCTGCTCAGGTCTTGATTCCAACAGAAAAACTGAATCTGCACAAAGCCTTGCTCTTGAAGATGTAACAGAATGACCCAGTTTGGTGTTGGAGTTAGGGCTTTAAGTTGAAACCATGTGAGACTGGTACATCAGACATACTCAAAGTGGGAATATGAAAAGCTCGATAGTTTCAATGGAGTTCTCTCTGAGACTGAGTTCAGACCTAAACCTCTAAAAGAAGAGGATGTGATACTAAAAAACCAGAAACTGTGAACTGTGAACAGAAGCAGATGAGCTTAGCATTGCTTTGGACAAGAAGCCATGCAAAGCAGCATAAGATATCTACAGGCAAACTTTAATATGTAATTCATCAGCCATTTTCTAGGAAAAACAATGAAAAAAAATTCCAAAATTGAAGCAAGCTGTGAAGATTTTCAGACATTTCCTTCTCTCAGCCCCACCACAGAAGTTCAGACATCTGCTGCTTCTTCTTGGCAGTCACAAAGCCATTCTGGAGGGTTCCCTAACTCTGCCCCATGACTGTGGAGATCTTTTGTTCTACCGTCTCCTTACCCGTCCATGAACACAGAGACATAACAATCCTCCTCTTCTTCCCGTTCACCTTCACAGGGCTTCCCACCGTTCATTGGTGAGGGGTTATTACACTCTCGGGTCCTTCTTCTCTTGAAGGAAGCATCACATGAACTCCACTCAGACCAGCAGCCCCAGCGGCCGTCGACACCAACTACAAGAAAGAAAAGAAATACCATCTTTCAGCAGATATGTAGCATACATAATATTTCTCTTAAGACCACACACAAGAGGGGTGGTGGTAAATTTGTAATAGCCATTTTCAGAGGATTCAAAATTGTTACTGCTAAGGGAGTAAATTGTATCCAGAATGTGATGTTTTCCAGAGAGATGGTCAGTGAAATCTCAGCTGCTTCATGAAGACCTAAAATAGATCTTTCTTTCTAGTTTTGATTGGAAGTAACATTCATATCCAGAAGAAGCCTATGTCCTACTTCTGTTGCACACACAGCCGTTTGAGTTTTTATGGTGATGACAACCTTCATAGCTAGATAGCTCAGTATTTAATGAGTTTTTAAATCTGAGTTTTAACACCATATCTAAGCCCCAAATCTACAACCCATGCAAGCTAAATTAAAGCATTGTTGTCTTTTCTTAACTGCTGGAGTGTTTTTTTTTAATGTGCCAACATGAAACATATATAATAGTTTTATTTAGACACCCTATCTTTTGTGCATGCAATACACTTTCTACATTCCTCTCTATCTGCACATCTTCAACTGATTATTTATTTCCAAATATTTAATTATCAGGATCAGATAATGAGACCTGTAAATGCCTAAAGTGATTTTCCCTTCTGTCCCCTTTTGGTCCTGAAATAGAAATATATGTAATAATAAATATAATATTGTAAATTTCTTCTTCTTGCCATAGGCATGGTTCATTCAAAAACCTGTTTGCATGAAATTATTCAGAATTATTATTATGTTCCCCCTCCTTAAGAAAACTGAGATTTCCTCCCACATTGTAATCAACAATTTTTATCTCTATTAGCCATTTAGTCTATTAAGGCTATAAGGAGAAGTATGGAATAACTTTCTTAATTTTTACATCAGTTATCTTTGATCTCAACTTCATCCTTATTGCTGAACAACTCATTTTTTCTTAATTATGTAGTTTTATGTAGGTATTACTTTACCATGTCTTACAATTTCTTCTGAGCTGTGCTTATTCAGTTTGATTTTTTAATTTTTAATCCTACCTTTATTCTTATTCTTTCTGATCATCATCACATGATAAGAAGTGCTATGGATTTAGTAAGAGAAGACCATATCAGATGAATCTTTGATTAACAGGTACCGGGAGGGCCACATTTACATTATGACAGTATCACCTGAAATACCTGATTTGTAACCCGGGGCTTGTGTCTCACAGTTTCTGCCGTAGGTGCCGGCCTGGCAGAGGCAGAGGCACTCTGTTCCAGAAAGCACAGGCCTGCCGTTGTTGGGGCACGGGGCGCACCGGCCCAGCCCTGCCGTTGTTGGGGCACGGGGCGCACCGGCAAGGGTCAAACCTGCCCACATATTCTCTCAGGGCTCTCCTCAGGTTGCGACGTTTGGTCACGGCACACGGCATGTTTTTCACCAAATCCACGATGGGTGACACCTGGTAGAGAGCTGTTCAGTAAGCAGTTACCTAGGCACGGCAGGGTCCTGCTGGGAATAGCTACTGCATTTTAAAGGCACTAGAGCCTTTACACATGAAACTATGTCACACAGGAGTCAGTGTGTTGGAAGTTATGGATGCTCTGAAGGATCATGGCGGTGCTATACACCTACACTATCCTGTTTTTATGGCTTTTATTTCCCTAACTCAGGGCTCTGAGAGACAGTAAGACCAACCAAGTGGGATACCGTATCTGAATACTCAGGACACCCTAAATGAATGACATGGGTCAATGCTACCTGAGACATCCCTACACTGCCTTCAGGAGCTCAGGAGCTGCTGTGGGAAAGAGATCACTGCTCGCTGCATTCAGGCAGGTTTTGCTGTTTGCCTCGAGTGCGCTGCTGCTGGTGCTGAGCAGCTGCTGCTGGTGCTGAGCAGCTGCTCTGCCAGCCGGCGAGGGAGGCAGCTCAGCACACTCCCAGCGGGGTTGGCACAGCGCACCCAGCGGGAAGGACACGGGGGGGACTGCTGTTTTGTTTCAGTTTAGCTCTGTGCCATACCTTCCAACACGTGCCTGACAAGCAAAAGGGCACAGGGGAAAAAAGTGTTCCCAGTACCATACACTGCTTTCCTGCACAGTAACTAACCTCTGCCCACACCCAGCTTCCTACTGCTGCTGGAGTAATTCACTCATATTACTCTCTCCTACTCTTACTGCCCACGATGATGCAAACCTCGTGTGGCTTATAAATCAACATGCGCATGCACAAGAAGTACTTCTAATAAACAGTATGTTCATGTTATGACCATATCTCTATGCATTCATATCATGCACAGCTTTATCTCCATATAAAAGACAGGACACCTGTGGAGCTCCATGAAGAGTTGTGAACTGGTGAGTACTTCACTAGATAAATGTTCTTCTCCTTTTACTCTTACCTCAAAGTCAACCACCACGGGATTGTCCTTTGTTGATTCCAGCCAGTCTGTGAAGACTGTGTGTCCTGGAAAAGCCCCTTTTTTCTCCCAGGCCAGTGCTGCTGCATATCCTGACCTGCCACCTTTTACCAGGGAGACTGACCGTTCAGCTGACTCCAAAATAGAACCTGAAAGACCATTTCATCACAGTATTGTCAGGCAAAGGCCCCCAAAAACAGTAGGTGTAACAAGCAAGTGGCAAGAAAAAGTGTACACGGTATAAAAAAATGAATATAAAATGAACAAATTTTTGGAGCTACCCTTGGAAGAAAGGTCAGAAAAACAATCCCCACTACAAAAGCAGCCTGTCATAGGCTTCAAAATGGAAGTGTCTGAGACTTCAGCCATGGAGATATTCAGAACCAAACAAGACACTTGTGGAAAATGCAGGGGATGCAGCAGACTCTGAGAGAACACCACACTGCAAGGTAGAGTCTTTTGTCCCAGCTGTAAACACCTGAATAGTGGAAATTGATCATAAAATAAGGACAAAAATATGGTGGAGGTGGAAAAATCCCTTTTTCTAGCAATGAAGAATACAACATTTTCCATTCTTGCAGAAACGTACCAACTTTCTGTAGTTCATAGGACACATTTCTGGCGTTGCCAGGGAACTCCTACACCTATATGTATGCTTGGCATGAGGAAGATGGGAGGAGAAAGTTGGGGAACTGTTATTGCTGCCAGACTCTCTCAATGAGCCCTGAGCAACCCTTAAAAAAGTAGTCAGGGTCTCAAGTCTTAATCACATGTTTCTAGTTGCAGCCATTTCCCAGTTCAGCATACCTGGTTCTGAACCCAGGGCTACAGAGGATGTGTCAGATCCGTGACTGACTGGAAGAAATAGTGAACTGAATCCCTAATCATGGTGCTCCTACACTGAAATTTCTTTTGTAAGTAAGAGGGTGTTTCCAGTGCTTGCTTCAGAGAGAGTGAAGCACTGTCTCTTCTGACAGTGGTGAAAAAGCACCTTTAGTTCAGCAAGCTGGGATGTCACCTGGGACACCTAGCTGAGGGCAGTGGTGTCCCTAAGGGTAAGTAACAGGACACAGGCCCTGTTCTCATCGTGGTCACCTTCATGTTTCACAGTCATCCTGTTTGTGGTGCATCTGGTACTGACTTTCTTTTTCTTCCGGAAGAACACACGCCTTGTTGTTTCTGTTCGGACACACTCTGTTGATTCATCCACTGCCAGGCCTAGAAATACCACAGAGCAGCAGCTTCATCACCATGACCATATTACATGATAGCATCATGCCCCCAAGCTCCCACACTGAGGTGAACCACCACAGGTGTCCATGCTTCTCACCCGCCACTGAGTGAGCTGCAAGTCTAAAGGATTTTTTGCTGTTGGAGAACTTCCTATGTGGTATTACCTAAAAACAGTGATAAGAAAAGCTTGTGCAGAAATCATGATATTTTCTTGTTAAAGATTACATACCTGAGTTCTTCAGTTCCTCAGAGCTGTACTGGTAAAGAATGTCATAGGAACCACCCATCTTCCCAGAGGTGTAGTAATGAGTGCCAAAGTCATCAAATATTCTGCTGTATAAAGCGTAGTTGTACTCCAGGGGCAGGTGGTTCAGTGCTTTCAGAAAGACATCTGAGAGCTGCAGATTTGACTGTTTCATTGTGAAGTTTGCAATAGAAATGATTTTGTGGACTCTAATAAAGTTGGAATTCTAGAAATAAGAAGAGAGGAATCTTAGCACATTCATAAGTCATTAACTTCAGAGAGTAGAGGAGCTAAGATTATGTCCTAAGATACATTGCAAGAACTACTTAGTTCTATTTCATGCTGTTTTAACCATGAACAAACTAGCCCGAGGTTTTCCAAGAGCACTTTTCTCGAGGTTCTTTAGGTTCTTGACAATGCTTATTACTCCTTTGCACTGTGGGAGTATATAGCATTCCAATAAAAATTCGGACTCCCTGGGCACGTATGAAACAGAAAGCAAAAGGTTTTCTGCCATACAAACACACTAGCATTTGATAAGACAGGTTTCAGAGGAAAGGCTTCAGCTTAGAAGTATCTATGGGTTGTTTGCAACTAATCTGATGAGTGGGTAGTTTGGATACTAACTCAGTTATGAAGTTTCACAATATATCAGTCTGCTAAAACTAAATCACAGGGATAAAGTTCTCATTTAGTTCAAGTGGGCAAAAAAAGAGAGAAAGTTCAAAAACTGGAAACATCTCTTACATTTAGAAGAAACTGAAGTTTTTGAAATGGCAAATTCACATATTTTTGCAATGTCAGAGGCTGTTTATATGAGAGTGTAATTAAATAGGAGGGAGAGGAGTAGAAAATACTAAAAGAAGGAATTTATAAAGCCACAAGGGGAACTGACAGCACAATGCCAAAGCACAGAGTTCAAGAGCAAAAGGAGGTGCAGGAAACTGGAGCAAACAACCAAACAGAAGATGGGAAGGATTCATTCTAAAACAGTTTGTTACAATGGGTTCTTGTGCTCAATTTTGCTGCTGGTAGGCTGACTCTTCATCTATCTCAAGGGTCACTTGGCTTAGAAACACAAGGAAGCATCTAGACAGGGAGTTCTCCCAGCCAGGACTGAGAAACATAAGGCATGAGCTGGACCTCAGCTCTCACTTCTGCACAGCTATGCTCATTTCAGTGCTCTCATTTGCACATTGGAAAACAAGCTAAGGATATTCATCTTTCTCCTGCAACGAGAATAAGAATGGAATAAATAGGGTATGTAACAATTTCCAGATTATATTCAGCTCCTAGAATTCCCTCTGGTAACTTCATTTTTAGAATTTTCATGTGATTTAGGTTCTCATCCTCAATTTTCAGTGGTGACAGCTAATTTTTCCCTTATGACACACAAAATTGCAAGCCACTTTGGCAAATACTGATATTAAAACCTCAGCTGGTTTTAGCATGATCTTGCATGCTAGATATGAATTTCTTCTTGACATACATATTGAATTAGCATTTTTCTACTAGTAAAAGTGCTTTCATTACTAGCAATTTACCTTACAGTTGTGAAACCCAATGATTTCTATGTTAAATCTTTGAGCCATGCAGAAACCCTCACTTGTAGAACAATCACAGGAAACTGGATTCCAAAGTCTCCAGTCATTTCTGGACTCATTTAATCATAAATCATAGTTACATATAGAATCATAAACCCTGGTGCTTGTAGCAAGTTTGATTCATGAGTAGCAGGTATTAATACAAAATATCTGTGGACCAGGGATGATTATTCCCAAGGAAAGCCTGGCCTGAGTGAAGTATGAGTACTCAAGTTCAGTTTCATTGTGCAGACTATTTCATTGACAAACAGCAGCCCAACAAAAGCTGAACTGAACTGATTCTACTACTGCAACTATTGATTCACTACTGAAACTAGTAGTTTTAACTGGAATTTATCTAACAAAGCAGGGTTTCACCCAAACATGCCGAATAAGTAATTTTAAATCCCAAATATCATAAGCAGAGTTGCCACAGGATCATATCTGTCCCTGCCTGACATTTCTAGGGATGGAGATGGCTTCCTATCATTGAGCTCTCAGTTTCTTGCTTGTAATTCAAGCAGTCCAACTCAGATGCTATCAGAAATACTAGGAACACCGGCTAGGGGAATGGCCAAACACTTTGATACAAAGCCTTCAGAAGTCCTTTGATAACACAACATGGGAATTCAGTGACAAAAAAGAAAAAAGAGGAAAATAGTATATCAAAATAACAACATGGAACAGGATGAACAAGATTAATAAAGTAGTTTATAATGCAGTTAGCAGACATTTATGTAGAAACCCACCCACATTCTCTTCAGCAATACAAAAGGAGGGTGACTAGCTGAAATGCAGATCCCTCTGGAGCTGCTGTTGCCTATGGATATGTAAGCTGAATCCCACCTCAACAGTTACAGTGATGCAAGCAGAAGATGTCAGGAAGGTCATGAGGATGATGTCTAAAAACTCCTTCCTTAGAGCACAAGAACTCTCAGTCTCCATGTGTAAGAAATCAGTCAGAAGACAAGAGACTGGCCTAGCTGAGTGAAGAGACCTGCTGGTCAAATTAAAGAGCAGGAAGGAAATGCACAGGCAGTGGAAGCAGGGACAGGTATCCTGGGAAGAGTATGAGGACACTGCATGGTTGTGTAGGGATAGAGTCAGGAAGACCAAGGTACAGCTGGACCTGAACTTGGCAAGGGCTGCAAAGAATATTAAGAAGGGTTTCTGTTGGCATGTGAGCCAGAAAAGGAAGGTCAAAGAAAGCAAACAACCCCAGGTGAACACAACTGGGAAAATGGTAATAACGGGCAAGTAGAAGGCTAGTAATTCAACAAGCTTTTTGCCTCAGTCTTCACTGACAATTTCTTCTCCCACACATCTTGAGTGGATGGACCTCAAGGCAGGGACTGGGGGAGCAAAGTCCCTTTCACTGTAAGAGAAGATCCAGTTTGAGATCCCCCAAGGAGCATGAATATACATAAGTCTATTTAAGTCTATATAAGTCTTTACATCAGTCATGGAACCTGATGAGATGCATATAAGAGTTCTGAAGGAATTTACTCCTGTAGTTGTCAATTCGCTCTCCATAATATTTGAAAAGTCACAGCAGTCAGCTGAAGTCCCCAGAGACCAAAAAAAAGGGAAACGTTGCATCCATTTTTACAAAGTGTGGGGAGGAGGTCCCTGGGAACTACTGACCTATCAGCTTCCCCGCTGTGCCTGGGAAAATCATGGAGCAGATCCTCCTAGAAGCTATGCTAAGGCACATGGAGGACAGGGAGGTGATTGGAGGCATCCTGCATGTCTTTGCCAAGGCCAAGTCCTGCCTGACCAACCTAGTGGTTTTCTCTGATGAAGTGACTACACCTGTGGGCAAGGGCAGAGCATATGTCATCTATTGAGACAGCTTTAAGACCTGGTCTCTTACAACATACTTTTCTCTAAAATGGAGAAATATGAAATTGATGGATGGACTATGTGGTGGACAAGGAACTGGCTGGATGTTTGCATTGATGTCCAGATGGAGATCAGTGACAAGTAGTGTCCCACAGGGGTCCATACTGGGACCACTCCTGCTCAGTAGCTTCATTAATAACAGAGAGTGGAATTGAATGTGCCCCCAGTAAGTTTGTAGACAACACCAAGCTGAGTGGTTGTTGTGGTTTAGACACAGCTGGCAGGGTAGCACCAGGTGGCCACTCAGTCTCCCCTCCCCAACACCTTCCGAAGGGGAAGTCGAAAAAGGAGAAAAATACAAAACCCCACGGTTTAAGATAAGGAGAATTTAATACAACAACACAGAAGGAACGCTAAACAACACTAATGACTGCAACAGTAATGAAACAATATATGAAGCAAGTGATGCAAAGACAGACCACATCTACTCTGAACCACAACAGCTGTGAGACCTCAGACCCTCTCCCGAAACACACCCCTAAGCAGGCTCTTCTGTTGTGGGCATGATGCCAACATAGTACTGGATAACCTGCTAACTCTTCTGATTGAACATGGTGCTGAATAACCTATCAGCTGTTTCTGTTCTCTATCCTGGTTGTAGCCCCCTCTCAACTTCAGGTGAAAATTAACACTACTCTAGCCAAAACGGGACAGTGGTGTGGTCGACACACCCGAGGGGCATGATGCCATCCATAAGTACCTGGACAAGCTGAAGAAGTGGGCCCATGTGAGACTCATGAGGTTCAACAAGGCCAAGTGCAAAGTCTTGCACCTGGGTCGGGGTAATCCCCAGAACCAACACCAGCTGGTGGATGAAGGGATTGAGAGCAGCTCTGTGGAGAAGGACTTGTGGATACTGGTGGATGAAAAGTGGGACATGAGCCAATACTGTGTGTTTGCAGCCCAGAAGGCAAAGCGTATCCTGGGCTGCATCAAGAGAAGCGTGACCAGTAGGTCAAGGGAGGTGATTCTGCCCCTCTACTCTGCTCTGGTGAGATCCAGCCTGGAGTACTCAGCTCCAGAGCATTCAGGAAAGACATGGACCTGCTCCAGGGGGTCCTGAGGAGGGCTAAAAAAAACTATCCGAAGGCTGGAACACCTCTCTGACAATGATAGGCTGAAAGTGTTTAGGTTGTTGAGCCTGGAGAAAAGAAGGCTCTGGGAAGATCATACTTAAAGGGGGGCTATAAAAAAGATGTGAATGGAGTTTTTAGTAAGGTGTGTGGGAACAGGACAAGGTGTTATGTTTTTAAACTAAATGAGGGTAGATTCTGAGTAGATACAAGGAAGACATTTTTTACAATGAGTGTGGTGAAACACTGGTACAGGTTGATGAAAGGTGGTAAGTACCTATCACCCCTGGAAAAATTTAAAGTCTGGTTAGATGGGGCTCTGAACAACCTGATCTAGTAAATGTCCTTGCCGATTGCTGAGGTTTGGACTAGATGACCTTTACAAGTCTTTTCCAGTCGAAACTATTCTATCATTCTGTGGTTCTATGATTAAAGGATGAGAAACCAAGAAGACATACTAGGCGACTAGTCATCTTAGCTAAACATTTCTGGCAAACAAGTATAAACTTAAAAAATCAAGTTTACATATTCCTTCTGTGCCAATATGGAGAAGTGCAAGGCCTTCCAAGTGGCTAATGCCTGCTAGAGGCCCTGGGGTGCTCAAGTGAAACCTTTTGCATAGTTTAATATGTAGGTCTGAATCTGACCTCACAAAACCCAGGTAAGTTGCCCCTTTTTCTTAAGTGGTCTGTATAAACTATATAGAATTTTTTTAAAATTAGTTTGTATGTCTCTTACACATACATAAGTATACATCTATCTAAAACCACACATAAATAAAATTTATCCAGAGACAAATACATATTTTCTGTGTGATACAGTACGGAACATGAGGAAGACTCAAGTTAAAAGTCCTACAGTGGATCTACTAAGAAGGGAATTTTAACCTGTGTATTCTTTAAGCCAACACCAGACTAAACTATTGGCTATTTTAGGTGGATTTCTGAGTTTCTTGACAACAATGTTGAAAATTAATGTACATCCCAAAAACCTTCCTGATGAAAGTTTCATTTAACTAAGCATTTCCATAAGTAGCTTTGTTCTGGGTTTGAGACAACAAGAAGCTACAAATCCACCAAACTAAACTTACCAGTTGTGCAGAAGAACAGCCTGATCTGTGTACAGGTATCTACGTAGGAATGAAAGTCAAACTTTTTCCAGTAGCTGGAACCCCAGCATAGTAGAATTCCAACTAGAAGTAATGGGCTATTTAAGTAGTCAAGTTATTAAGGGTTTGGACAAGTTATCAAGGCCTGCAGTGAAATTTCAGCATAGGAAATTTTAATATTAGGACTGACATTTTTGTAAAAGTTTAATTAAAATTGTATTAGTACTCCTGGATTTCAACAGACCTCAGTTTCAGACAGTCCTATGACCTATTCCATGCAGAACTGCAAACAATAGCCTGAGTGCACCCTCAGCAAGTTTGCTGACAATACTAAGCTGGGTGGTGCAGCTGACACATCACAGGGATGTAAGACCATCCAAAGGGACTTGGACAGGCTGGAGAGGTGGGCTCAGGTGAACCTCATGAGGTTCAACCAGACCAAGTGCAGGGTCCTGCACCTGCACCAGGGCAATCGGCATTACCAATGTAAGCTGGGACAGGACATGCTAGGGGACAGTCCTTTGGAAAAGGACTTGGGGTTACTAGTCAATGAGAAGCTGGACATGAGCCACCAATGCACAGCAGCAGCCCAGAAGGCCAATTGACTCCTGGGCTGCATCAAACGAGGCATGGCCAGCAGATGGAGAGAGGTGATCCTGCCCCTCTGCTCTGCCCTGGGGAGACCTCACCTGGAGTGCTGTGTCCAGCTCTGGAGCCCCCAGCACAAGAAGGATGGGAACCTGTTGGAGTGTGTTCAGCAGAGAGCCAAAAAATGATGAGAGGGCTGGAGAACCTCTCCTGTGAGGACAGGCTGAGGGAATTGGGGTTGTTCAGCCTGGAGAAGAGGAGGCTCCAGGGGGGCCTTATAGCAACCTTCCAGTACCTGACAAGAAAGCAGGGGAGGGACTCCTCACAAGGGTTTGTAGTGACAGGATGAGGGGTAATGGCTTTAAACTAGAAAAGGGTAGATTTAGGTTAGATGTTAGGAAAAAGTTCTTCAGTATGAGGGTGACAGACCACTGGAATAGGTTGCCCAGAGAGGTGGTGGAGGCCCCATCCCTGGAGACATTCAAGATCAGGCTGGATGAGGCTCTGAGCAGCTTGATCTAGTTGGAGATGTCCCTGCTTATGGGGGGGTGGTTGGACTAGATGACCTTAGGAGGTCCCTTCCAAACCAATACGTTCTATGATTCTATGATTTTATGCTTTACTGCCATTAAACTATATCAGTACATAACTTTATGCCCCACGGTATTCATCTGCACTAAAGTTGCAGAATTTTATGGGGAAGCAGTTTTCTGTTCTCAGAAACTTTTCTGCAGATGTGTTATTTCTGAGATTATTTTTAAAACCAAGTGCATTTTAGCAGCTGTAAGAATCAAACATACAAGTTAGTTACCAAATAAAACACTAGTGTAGATTAATTCCCAGTATAACATTCAAGAGTGCACTTCATTTCTTTTTAGAGCTGTCTGCCGATGTTACTACATAGTATTCTGCTTCCTTAATGCATAAACAGGACAGGGAATAGAGTGGTTTACTCAGTCTGATAATCTCAAATCTATGGATTTTTTTTTTTTTTTTAAGGTGGAGTGAGTCTATGATTTCTGTACTGAAAAAGGAAAGGCACATTGCTTTATAGAAAGTGTGATACAATCAGGAATATCCTGTAGTATCAGAACAGGCACTTTTAAATGCATTATTCCAGTGTTATGTTTGTTTGATTGATTTTTTTGTTTGTTTGTTTTAAACATAATGCCAGTGTCCTGTTGAGGAAAACAGCATTTTTTTTAAGCTCAGTTCTGAAATGAGCAGACAGAAATGGAATGAAAGGAAGAAATTGGAGGCAACTTTCGATTACCTTTTCATATGAGGCTTCAATGGCCTTCTTGAAGGAGGATGATGATGTGACTTTAACTCGCGTCTTTTTTGAGAATAAAAATGGGATACCAGAAGATCTTTGACCAGCGTGAGTGGACGAACTACTTTCATAAGCACTGTCACTCAGGGGAGTTAAATCATGGTAGAAGTCTGATGTTACATCGTCCTCTTCATCTATTACCTGGAGATTCAGCACAGCAAATTGCATTTGCCCCAATAATAAACTGAAACAAACCTACTAAGCAGTGAATTCTTAAATTTTTAAATTCTTAAATTTTCTTTTTTTAATGGAAGAAATAGGCTTGATTTTTTGAGACATAATACTAAGATAAAAAAGTGTTCTTAATACAGAAGAAGAGGTTGAGGAAGGTTAATAGGCAAGACACATACAGGGTAGGAAGTAGACTTACTAACAGGTGTTTATACAAGAAAAATAAGGGTAGGCTCATTTTGGGTGAGGTAGAGTTAATTTTCTTCGTAGTAGCTGGTATGGAGGTATGCTTTGGATTTGTGCTGGAAACAGTGTTGTTAATACAGGGATGCTGTAGTTCCTGCTTGTTTTTGTTGCTGCTGAGCAGTGCTTACACAGAATCAAGGCCTTTTCTACTTCTACCCCACCAGTGAGTAGTCTGGGCGTGCACAAGAAGCTGGGAGGGAACACAGCTGATCCCAACCGACCAAAGGGATATTCGATGCCATATGACACCATGTTCAGCCTGTAAATCTGGAGGAAGAACAAGGAAGTGGGGTTGTTTGGAGTGATGGCGTTTGTCTTCCCAAGTAACCATTACACGTGATTGATCCCTGCTTTCCTGGAAATGCCTGAACACTTGCCTGTCGATGGGAAATTGCGAATGAATTCCTTATTTTACTTGCTTGTGCATGTAGCTTTTGCTTTACCTGTTCAACTGTTTAAATTTCAACCGATGAGTTTCTCTCATGTTCACACTTCCAATTCTCTTCCCCATCCCATTGTGGGGGGAGTAAGTGAGCAGCTGTGTGGTACTTAGATGCTGCCTGGGCTTAAAGCACAACAGCATGTAACACTTTCTTCTAAAATTCTCCATCCCCATGCCCCAAAGCTTAGGGATAATTTTCAAAAAGTGTTTCAACACACTTTTCAAAGACTTTCAGACCTTTGTGCTGTGTTCACTCTATGACTAAGTCCCAGTCCCATGGCTTCTACACTGCAAGACAAAGAGCTTGATGTTTTCTGTCTTTTCCTCTCAATTCCCCAATAGACGAACGAAGAGGTTTCCTGAGGAGAATCTTAGAGTATTCTTGCAGTGTTAGCGCTCATACTGCATGATGGACTAAGGGTAGGTGGAAAGGAACTGAGAGCAAATCTGCCTGATCCTTGGTAAATTTGGTAAATCTCAGTGGTGCTGTTGTACAGAGTACCAAGACAACTTGAACATGAGTTCAAAAATTACTAATTTCCCCAAAGTCAGGCAAATCCCTGTGGGTGCTTGAAAGATCCATTTTTTCCCCTCCCTTAGACTTCTTTAATTAATAGGGGTCATAAAGATCTTAGGTGGTCCATCACTCTAATTCAACTCCATTCTCCAAAAATTCATATGTTTTTGCATGAAAACACACTGGAGGTTCGAGAAGAAAGCCTGATCCAGTGATACTTCTATACAAAGACAGCTCTAAATGTTAAAAGATATAGATGCACTCTCAAAGGTGACATTCACAAACCTTAACAGTTCTGCAAATGGACATACGTAACTTAAACCTCACAGCTCTAAAGAGACATGGGCAAAACAAAGCTTGGTTTTCCCCACTGAGTATTTGTCCACAAGGTAATTTTTCACTGCATTGACAAAACCTGCATGTCATGGCCAAGCCAGTTGCAGTTTCCGTGGAATATATTAGGGTGTCCTCTGTTCAGTTGTGCCTGTTAAAGTAATGCTAAAAACTCACAGCACTCATGGGAAAAATCAGCAGTTCAGGTTTCATCCATGAAAGCTGAGCTTTTTTCATGTCCTGCGTTCCTTCCTTTCCAATGTAGTGTTGGCTTCTGAGAGGGTCTGCAAAATGTGCATAGGCAGATGTTGTGCCCTGACTGTGGTATTCAAAGTATTTTCTAAATACCAGTGTCTGAAAGTCTAAAATATCAGTTCTAAAAAAATCCATGATTCCTACATTTTTTATAAGATAGAAGCTCGTTTCAATTTGTCCTTGGCCTGTCCTGCAAGACTCCTGTCCAGACTATGATCTTGTCCTCCTGCCTCCCAGACTCAGTGCCTGCCTCCTCTCCTTTTTACTTTTGGAGGGACTGGGCTGGCAACAGGCAGAACTGAAGGGCTGAAATGGCTCAGGGTGGAACTGCGTCCTAAGGGTGAAGGTGACTAGAAGGAAGCTGGAGAGAGGACAGCCATTGGTACTGCAAGAATAGAGCAGTGATGCTGAAATTAGCTTTGGACTTGAATGAGCCTCTAGCTAGATTATGCCAGGGTTAGGAGTAAGGCATCAGTCATCTTGCGTATGATGCAGTGAGTAAACACAGATCTGAAAGGTGTAAGTAGAGCCACTGGACTGCTCAAGTTATCCCATTTCCACATATCACTTGAAGCATGTTCAGGCCAAGCAAGGGCTGAAATCTTATCCTAAAACACAACATTACTGCCTGAGACTTGAGCACATAACTTGGACTGTGATTACGGCAACGGTTTTTCAGCTAGGAGCTTTTGTGTGAGAATACCTGAAAGCCGATAGCCTCCAGGTTTGCAGGAACACGATACGACTTCCTTGTCTCATTGCGCTTCACTGTTGTGCATTGTCCTCCATTGAATGAGTTGCCAAGGACTTCCCCTCGGCTCTCTCCTGCCAGAATGTGAAATCTAACAAAAAATTATTCCCAGAGATTAAACAACCCAGAAAGACATGAAACTTTTACTGGTATACAGCTGCACTGAAGATTTTGTGGGTTTGAATGAAGCAGTATGAGCGTCTGGGTTATTTTACTGCTTTGAAAGAAGTTCTTCTACAAGAACTTTTCGTTCACACTGAATTTACCTGAAAAATGCTGTAGCAGCATTTCTCTTTCCTACTTTCCAGTAATGCCTAACCCTCTATCTAATCCAAATATGAGCATCAGAGAGTCACTCTCAAGCAGAACACCTGAAAATGGCCTAGGAAAATTAACAAGCAGTTCTCCATTTGTACCACAAGTAATGTTACCAGAGTGCACTAAATTCAAAATTCAGCTAAAAATGCAAGGCTGCCTGGGACAGGCATCCCATGTTTATGTTTTACTTTTCTTAAAATGGAAGAGGTGATGGTTGGTATTGTGTAAAATGTATGACAGACTGTCAAACATACATAGAGGAACATCCTCAAAATTTCAGAAGCACTTGGCCCAACTGAGCTGGAAGTTACCAGTCTGTGACACTCTGGCTGCTCTGAGGTGGGAAGGGTCACTCAGACAGCAGCAGTCCCTGATAGCTCTTTACCTTGGGCACCAGCAGGGCAGAGCAGGACTTGCTAGATGCAGTGGGCAAGTTCTATCTTGATGGTTTTGTTGCAGTTTCATAAATTCTTGTTAATTTTGAGACCTTATATGTTTTAATAGGATAGTCCTCTGCACTAATTGGTGATTATCTTGTTTGTGTAAATTTGTGAAATAACAATCTCAGGTTTATGAGAAATAAGCAGAGCTGGCTTACCCACTGCCTATTAAATGTACACCTGGGATGGGCTCATACTTTCTGTTACACACAGTCTTTTTCCTTCCACAATTCCTTTCATCAGAGTTGTCTCCGCAGTCATTTTCTCCATTACACTCCATTTTTTTTGCAATACAGCGACCTGCACCAGAGAAACAGCAGCAGCAAGAAACTTTATGGAAAGATTCATTCTGTCTGAATGCAGAGAAGGGCAGACTGACTTTTTCCCTAGGAAAGGTGTGAACTTGCCATAGGAATTAACAGCAAGGTAATATAGCACCTAGATTATTTCAATAAGAAACAGGTTTGGTTTATTTCTGCAGTTCAGCCAGTTTTGCTTTGCTTTGAAGCTGCAAATTCTTAATTAGAGGTTTAGAGAAAGGATCTGTGGATAAAGTTATTTTGAGGCTACTCAGGTACATATAAATTGAAGCAAACAAGAAACTCCCATAAATTGAATAAAAATAGTATGAGTTTATGTTCAGGCAAACACTACGATATGTTTGTATAAGAAAAATTTGTGCAAAGAAATATTATTGGAACAGTACTATTGTCTAGCTAACATGGTCATACTGACATCCCAGGCTGGAGATTGCACTTGAATTACTTTCAGCTACAGAAGAAACTGCAAATGTAAGCTTCTAGTAGTGTATATATCCTGAAGCAGGCTTCTCTCCTTGCTCCATTTCCTGGAATTTGTGCAGGGAATATACAAGATCTGGATCAGCTGGACCATTTTCACCTCAGTGTCTAATTTTTTAATTATCTAATAATGCAGCTGTTACACAATAAAGATCATTACCACTTTCACACTGAAACTTGTTCTTGCAATTGACTTCCACAATGTTGCAGAGCTTAGCTGGGAAACATGGACGGGAGTCCACCAGTGGCTCAGTACAGGCCTGACCCCCAAACTGGGACGGTCGCAGGAGTGTGCGGACACGAAACTGAAATGCAGAAGAAATATGACCAAGTTTGTTTGTGTCAACTGCTTTTGTAGCTAAGTGACCACTCAGGTAGAACCGCATGCCTCAGTGCTGCTGAAGCTTTATCAAAACCAGAGTCCTGAAGGAAATAGTAATTTTTGTCCTTATATCCCACCACATCGTCATCCCGGGTGCAGGCAGGGAACTGAAATCCAAAAGCCTTGATAGCCCTGATGGAACACACTTAATTAAACACTTCACAACCTGGGCTACATCACTGGAAGAAGCAAAAGTTCAATCTCTGTCTCTTCAGTTTTAGAGGTACAGTAGGAAATCATGTGGGAACAGGCTTACGGCGATTTTTCCTGTTCTTCATCATCTCTGTTAAAATAGAAATACTCTCATGGTGGCATGTATCCCCATCCCCAGACCAGCTGGTTTGGCTCCCAACATGGGCCCTCTTGTCTGAGACGCCTTGGATAACTGGGGAGGATGAAAGTTGTTTTCCTGAAAGTTTCTGTTACAAAAGAAGATCTGGGAGCAAATTCTAGAGTTCTTTGGGTTTTCTTTCCCCAAATCATTATGCTCCATGCAGAATACAAATCTGTAGGCTGCTAGACAAATTACTTCAGATATGTGAAATCTGAACTTCAGATAGTCCACTTCAAGGGATCGCTTGACACCTGTCTGCATGTGACTGAACAGTTCCCCCTTAAGAATTTTTCTCCTTTGGAAAAATACAGTTCATTGCAGACTTCTTTTACTTCCCTCCCTGTAGGTGGACCCTGGAGTCAAGTAATGCAGGAAAAGGTCTAGTAAAAATCAGTAAATGAGTAAACTATGAAGGCAGAGTGTGAGGAGCAACACCAGATCATTTGAAAGCTTTTGAGCTCAAGATAACCCTCCTATGTACTCCATCTGGGATCCGTAACACTCAATATATTATCCATGTGAGCTTCTACTTCATCCCTCCCCCTCACTGGGAGCTTACTTACACTAGTCTTCACACTTACCTTGGCAGTCATGTCCTTCGTTCTGATGGCTGTTTAAATTTTTAAAGGTCACAAGCAATAATCTTTTAGCTTGGAGGGAAAAATAGATCACAGTCCACAAAAGCAACTTTTTTCTTGAAGCAGCAAACATATTGCATCCACATTTAAAGTTAATAAAAACAAACATTTCTTCTATATATGAATGCATAGGCAAGAAATTCAGCCATTTAAGTGGATATGGATTACAAAAAATATCAGTTCAACTGAGACCAGAGCCCCGTTTCAGTTCTTGCATCTTGTTTGCTCTCTCTCTCTCACTCACTCACTGTTCTTCCCAGCTCTGCTCTCACATTCTCCATCCCAGCTGCAGGAGGGGAACCCCACAGGGTGGTTCATGTCTTACGCTTAGAACAGATTCTTCGTGTCTTCCTTATTCTACATGGGCATCAGAAGTTATATAGATATGTAAAGACATAATAACTGACAGGTTTTCCAAGACTGTTTTTCAAGCATGGATTTCTGAAGTTGAGCAGGATATTCAGAGATATGTAGTTAGCGTCTATACAGAAACTTAGGGCTGCTGTCATGGTCAGCCTCAAAGCTCAGATCCACCAGCCACATAACTACCCAAAACAATCAGCACTCCACTTCTCTCCACTCCCTACAGCCTTATATTTGCCAGGGCTTTGTTTCTTTAGGCCAAATCCACTTGAACCTGACCTTTCACCTCTTCCTTCTCTGTCATCTCACCTTTAAATCTACCATCAGTCAACAGATACAGGCCCGAGAGGAAAAAAAAAAACACCATCCTGGGGCTTTGTTCTATAGATATGAATGAAGCACATCCACCTCTTTTTTCTTCTGTAACCCATAAAGGAATGGTGCTTTGGATTTCTTAACAGCAATCTCAAAATGGTCCTGACTACCAGTGTAAGATATTGCCGGAGCATTTCTAGACAGCACTAGTTAGGATTTTCTCGTTAATTCTTTTTAACAGATTATTTGGTTCTATTTTTCTTTCTTTTGAACATACAAAATGCTATGGATAAGCTAAATTTTCCATTACTTTCTCATGCTTAAGCAGACATGAAAACACTACAGCTTAAGTTATCTGTTATGTAGAAAAGTCATCTTTAATTGTAACAATGGAACTTTCGAAGCAAGTACTCAAAAATGGTTTAATGCTACTAAATCACACCTTTCTGTTTTGATCTGCTTATTTTAACTTGTTCTCTCCATCTTCCACAGTTATAATTCATAAGTAATTTCCCTTGTTAACTTAAACTGTCATTTTGCAGATGAATTGCCATAAAGCTGAATGTCTGAAACAAAGAGATCTCTGTAATTTCTTGCATTTAACTCATACAATGTTTTTTCTACCTACCTGTTTTTTAACACATGGGTCACATTCTGACCAAGGGCCAAAGTCTCCAAGATGACAGTTGATAGGACATGTTTGCTGGTTACATGCACGGGATTGCTGCTTTGTGCACAGCTGGTCACAGAAGTTTTGGCTATAATATTCATCCATCCTTATTTGCCTAAAAAGATTAAGAAGTTATGCTAGGAAGTAATCAGAGACAGAACATAGATGATCTCTTATCCGTGGGTGAAAGCTAATTAAAAAAAAAATCATTATAGCCCAATGAAAAACACTTGAGAGATAATATGTAGTTGTAGAATGTTGATTAAAGGAAAAATCCAAATGCACCTTAAGTTTACAAAACAGTCCTTTTTGATTCATGTCGCTTCAAATGCACCAAAGAATAGCTACTGAAAGAGCCAGAAATCCCCCAGAAAGAAGGGATTTCTCACAGTTTAGCATGTATCGATGAATTGTATCTGTTTTGGTGCTGCTGAATCCTTATTTGATTTTAACTGATGTCATAAGATTAATCATACAGGGAAGAAATTCCTGTAGGCTTGCCACATTGGAGCTCACGCCTCCCATGGCATTGCTCAGCACTGGGCATTGCTCGCGGAACCGCACTGACTCAGAGAGACTCAGTGACCAATGCACACTGCTGGCAAGGCTGTTGTAGGACCTGGCTTCTCCCTCCTCACAACATGTGTGGACAGATATAGGTTTTTCTGGAGGCATCATAATGCTCTGTATACATGATTCTATCATTTTTATGTTTCTCAATTAAAATTTAATCTTTTCTTCTGGTAAACACTTTGATACGACAATTTTCCCCAGTATATTATGGAAGCTGGATCTTCAGACACAGGTTCCCCCCCCCCCTTATTTTCTTAGGGAATAAATAGAAACATAGAGGTAGTGAGATAATTTGGTCCTACCTGTGCCTGATCTGGGTGCCATAATTGCAGGTTTGTGAACAGGCTGACCATGGCCCCCACGGGTAATGTTCACAGAAGCACCCTTGGCTGCTCCCAATTACCAAGCTCAGCATGATCAGGTACATTAACATAGTCTTGTCTGTAATGAAGGTGTCCATCTACAGCACATAAACAGGTAACAAAAGCTCAAGAAGCTACCAATTACAGTTGTGCCTGTATCCTTAGAAAGACACCTCTTCTAATTTTCAGAACCTAGAAATCTGCTTTATAATACAAAGCTTCTAAGTTGTGTAGCTAGAAAGGGGCAATAGTGCATGATACACTTTTATCAATGGTTTAGTTAATACTTTTAAAGACCAGAAGTCACAATGGGGTTTTTCTGGCCATTTATTTATCAGAAGTACTAATCATGACTGCACATTATTTCTATTCAAGAAGTTGCTTATAAATAATTTTCAATGTGACAAATAAAGACCTGCTATTTTTCTTCATTGTTGAGAAGTATTCTTAAAAATATTTTCTAGGAATAAAAATAAAAGCACGAGATAACTCTTCCTATAAAACATGTAAAGCAACAAAGAAGACCTTAAGAGTACGCAGCCCCATCTATCACTTTGTAACCAGTTCATTTTCACATGCCTATAAACCCCCTTTGCACAGATGTTTTGCTGCAGTAAATCCTTCTTTCAGCTCTTTGTTGTTCTTAGTTTTGACTAGCTTGTCTAAACCACAAACCATCACTATTCAAAGCTCTTCTGAATTTTCTAACAACAGCAGCAGACAGAATAGTTAGTCTATTTTTTCAATCTACTAGTCAACCAAACTTTATTTGATGAGGCAGAAGGTTATAGGCAGTCTTTAGAAAGTAATAATTCCTAGTAAGCTTGAAAAACCTTTTCCAAACTATTCGTTTGTTGAAAAATGCAAAATGTGTTCCCTCTCATCATGAGATTGAATCAACACTAAGTTTGGTAGGCTGTTACAGTAGAACATTATCATTTTGCTTCACCTCCAACAAAACCAAAGCTGAACAAGAAGTTTTTAAAGCAAAGTACTTATTTTAAAACAATATTCCAAAAGATTTCATTTTGAAAAGTTTGAAATAAAATGTACTATTGTTTTCTATTGTAGGTTTTTAGTCACATATGCTATTATGAGTTTTACACTTTGCTAAGAAAAATGAAATTGTGTCAAGTCAAAACATTGCTTCATCCTTTAATAACAAAAGGTAGTAAGTCTTCACACAGCTGTTGTTGGAGATATCAGAGCACTTTTTACACAATATCAGTGAACAAGCCTTTTAAAGAGATATAAATAAAACAAGATGAGAACAGATATTATATCTTTTTTCCTACCTCAGTCCCCGGCTCCTTGCAGTAATGGTGCTGGCTTCGAAAAGAGATGAAGTCATACAGAACAATTACTTTGTTCACTCCTTTGCTGTACTGTACATACAACACTGTTTATTCTCATCTGTGAACAAGACTCCAACCAATCAATACATCAAAAGCATATCAACAGCCATATAAATGTAAGTACGTAATTGATTAATTCTATGTTTTGAAGAAAAAAAAAAAAATCACACAAAACACTTCTCCATATGTCTTGCGACCTGTGTGCGTTGAAGACAACAAAAAAGCTCCCTTATTAAATTACTGTAAGACTGTTAGCTGCAAAGTCAGTTAACTTTGTAAACTCATGTGATCTTGACATGGTTTGCTGCAGTCTTTTAAACAAAAGGTTGGAGGTTTTGTTTGATTTGGTTATCCGTTAATGAAGGCAGATCTGGTCTGGTGGTAGAAATGGTCAGAACAAAAAAGACCTCTCCACCAGCACCCTGACAGAAAAATGTTCAAGATATTTGTGGAGAAACAGCTTTTTGTACAAATATGGCTGCCTAACATGAGCTGAGAGGCATAAATCCACCTTTGCATTATGCCATAATGGCTCAGTGCACTGCAGGTCTCTTGTGCTGCCCAAGAGAGCTGCACAACCTCTCTGCTCTCAGTTTGAAGGCAAGAGAGTGAGAATCTGGTAAGATGGCACACGCTCATAATTCATTAATGCTTTCACTTGGAAACAGGAGATAGAGACCAGGCCAGGGCAAAATACCTGTCTACTTCTGCACCCTCTCTGCAAAAGCGGAGCTCCCAGAGCAAATATCCAAATACATTTGAGGTTATTTACAGCTTTATTTACTTTCCCTTTAGTCCACCATGGTAAGCTCTGGGAATGCAGTGACCCTGGGGAAGTGCAGCCAGCAGACAAGAGCTGATAGCCTCTGCCCCGAAACATGCATATCACCCTGTGCCAAGGCAGAAATTGAAATGGAAAGCAAGAGAATACACCCATGCAGAACAGAAATTTTTGTAAATCCTGAGTTCAGCCAAGGAAGTGTTTTTACAAAACTTGAGGACACAATTAGAAAACTGATGTTCTGCCAGATCCTTATGACATTGTGTAAACTTGTTGTAAGAAATCAAAATAGTCATCACTCTGGCTCCATAGTTGCTGCTGGGTGGGATTTTTAAAGTTATGTGAAAAATACTGGCTTCCACCTTTCAGAGAGCATCTCCCAACCCTCAGCACTTCCAGTTCACAAAGGACAGTTCCTCCATCCCCAGTGGGACCTCAAACAGGAACCACAGGATCATAGCATCATAGAACCACTATGATTGGAAAGGACCTGTAGGATCACCATGTCCAACCTCTATCCTAGCATTTTCCTAACCACTAGACCATAGCCTCAAGTGCTAAATCTACATTTTTTTAACACCTCCAGGGATGATGACTCCACCACCTCCCTGGGCAGCCCGTTCCAGTGCCTAACCACTCCCTCAGGGAAGAAATTCTTCCTAAAGAAGTATCTAACTGAAACCTCCCTTGGTACAACTTAACGCCATTTCCTCTCATCCTATCACCAGTAACTTGGGAGAAGACACCAACACCAGCCTCACTACAACCTCCTTTTAGGTTGTAGTAGAGAGCAATAAGGTCTCCTCTCAGTCTCCTCTTCTCTAGACTAAACGACCCCAGTTCCCTCAGCCACTCCTCATAAGGCAGTTTTCTAGACCTCTCACCAGCCTCGCTGCCCTTCTCTGGACCTGCTCCAGCACCTCCATGTTCTTCCTATACTGTGGTGCCCCAAACTAGGAGATGACTAGCTTCTCTCAGGCTTGTAGAAACAAACCGCTATACTTTTTCTTAACAGGAAAGCACAGAGTTACTTAGAAGGTTTATAAATTTTAAAATTATTACAAGGAAAGGGTGCTTCACACAGGCTACAAGCAGTCTGTGTCATTTATAATCAGAGAACAAGCTAGCAGAGAATTACCACAGTTAACATATACAGAAATGTTTAGGTGGAGACTGGCACTGGTAGACCACACCAAAGTCAGGACTTGGGGACAGCGTGAGGACATCCATACTGGATTCTTAGATAGGGGTTCATGTGAACTTAACTCACGTCTGAGTTAAGTTCACATCTGAAGCTGATGGGCCACAGCAGTAAAATGCAAAAAGTTAGCTTAGGTTATCTCACATTTTGGCAAAGCTGTGTGCAACTGCTGGTGTGACCGTGGAGGTTGTCAGCTTATCTGCAAGCAGGCAAGCTGATCAGAGGCATGAAGAATCTGGACAAGGACAACAAAATGGCACTCAAGTAACCAAACTGACTGGAGAAAGGATTTTTTCCCAAGCATGGCAGCCCACCTAGTGACACCGACCTGCTCACCATATATATACTACAGTTCCTCACAGGCTTTGTCTATGGATATCCTCAGAGCAACCTCGCTCTCTTCTGTCCTGGCTGGAGATCTGCACTTGTGTATGTGCATCCTTCCCTTATACTCTACAATGTGTTTTGGCATCTGAACAGCTCACAATACCCTAGTGTTAACTCTTCACTTCGTGTGCACTTTCTGTCCTCACAGTTAGCTACTCAGAAAGTTCCTTCATAACCTTTTAAAAGCATGAAAAATAAAATAAGTCTGTTTAGAGACAAGATCACTTGGAAATTTAGCAATGTGACAAGTGATGGCTCATGCAAGCGAGGGTACCTTCTAGGACAGATTTTCACATGGAAAGGCATCGGCATCAAAAGATGCTGTTCTTCTGGACTGCAGTCCTGCATGTTTTCACACTCGTATGATGCTGTGCGTTAACTAAGTCTCTGGTTTCAAGCTCTGGTTCAGTAAGTCCTGAAGACAAAAGCACTATCACTGGAATCAAACTGGGAGCAACCCACAAAGGTCAGTATATAGAGGCATGCCATTTTACAGCACTCAACTTTGGGAGCCTCTGTGCACATAACCGTGGCCTCAATTTCATTATTTTTACAAGAAATGTTTCTTCAACAAAACAAATATAAAACCCTTTCAACTCTGCTGAAATATTTTTATCAAAGGTCATTTTTTAAAGAATGGGGAAATCTTATCTCAAGGGGAGTGGAGAAATCCAGTGAGTATTCTGCCAGAGATTGTAGCTTTTCTAGCTGGGTTTCACAAGGTCACCCTTCATCTCTTTCATCCTATATCTAATTTCTCCTACAGAAGAAACAAATTATCCTCCCAAGTCAACCTCTAACCCTGCTCTGAGAGCAGCCTATGTTCTCACCACCAAGCTCTGCTCAGGGGAGAAGCTCTAGAACTGTAAAGGGGAAAGAACAGAAGGAAGAGGGCAAACACCATAACATTTTCTAGTAGGTAAGCAAAACAAAAGTCAAACAGTTCTTTTAAGAGACATTGCCTGGTGTTTTCCAGATCCCCTAGGTACTGAGACAGGAAAAAACATTCATTCTGTCCCACAAAATCATGACTGTGGACTATTGCTACCTACCTCCAGCTCTTAGGATGATGAACACCAAATGTTTACTGAACTGAACCTCCAATTTCACACAGATCTTGCAGGCATGGCTTCAGGTGTCTGCTCTCTAACAAAATCTGGAGTTTTAAGAACATAAACTGACACTATTCAATAGACTTTTTTTTTTTTTTTTTCCTTCTCAAAATCTTCCTGAAATCAAAGTACAAGAGAAATCTCTAATCCCTAAGTGGCAGATTAAAATTTAATATCAATTGGAACTGGGAGGACAATACACTTTGCACTTAATTCAGTAATTCAGTTATGTATTCTTCCTCTTTAAACTTCTATCACCCTG